ACATAGCTTCACCACTCTACTTACAACTCATCTCATTTTCTCCGATATACTCTTCCCCTCCTTGCATCACTCTACTTTTGGTAAAACTTTCTTCATATGCTAACTTATCTCACTTACATACTCTCTTTACATCATCCATTCCACCAACGCATCCTCTTCCCTCCCGCACACCACTTGGCTGGTAACCACAAACTCGGCTGAACACTCTACATCACACATTCTTTGTAAAACCCCCCCTGCGTACCTCTTCGACCCCATTGCCTATGCTCTCATTAGCCCCATCTATCCTCCAATCTGTTTATATCTACCCTAACTGCCTCCCTCTTTTAGTTATAAAACTTCACCTCTCTCTTCCCTGATACTTCTATTCTCCTTGTAATCCATCTACCTTTTACTCTGTGTAGCTACAACTAGAAAGTGACTATATATCTGTGGCCCCACTATAAACTGTACATCCTGAATTCTACTCAACAGTCTTTTTATCTACCAATACATAATCCAACAAACTACCTGTCATGTCGTGCCCTACATCATATCTTGTATAACCTTATTTATCTCTTTTTCTTAATATGTACTACCTATAACTAAACCCCTTTAGCTTAAACATCAGTTCTCAATACAAGGGCCTCCCATTATCATTTAAACTGGCCACCCCAAACTTACCTACCACACCCTCTCTAAAAGTTTTCTCCTACTTTAGCATTCAGGTCCCCTACCACAATTACTTCTCTCACTTGGTTCAAAGGCTCCGATACATTTCACTTAACCATCGTCCCAAAATCTTCTCTCCTCCTCCCTCTGCATTCCTCTCTTCTCCAGGCATACACACGTTTATGACCCACTTCTCGCACCAACCTTTACTTAATCCACATAATTCTTGAATTTACACATTCAATTCTCTTATCTCCTTCCATAACTGATCATTCAACATTACTACTGCTACGACCTTCTTTGCTCTAACTCCTCAGATACTCCAATTTAATCCCATTTATTTCGGACCCCCACTGAAACTCCCCTACCCCCCCTTCAGCTTGTTTGCATAGGGCCAGACATCCAACTTCTATTTCCATTCATAACATCAGCAATCATCTGTTTCATTGTCACCGCACTACATCCAGCGCACAGTTTAAGCATCCCATTTTATAAATAAGTTTTTTCTTGAGTGTAAATGTATCATGTTTATAATGCATAGTAACACTAGTTTCTTGGTGTAAATTTTGAGGAAAGTATACTCAAGGACTAATGAAAACATGTCTAATATTGATTATACTACATTGGCTCAACGATAAGAGACTAGTGATTTTAAATGTACACCCTGCACACCAGCACAGTGTGTAAGAAGGATACTAATTAAATTTCGAAACAGCATAAGCATGCAGGAAAAGAGGGACTATAAATGTATTAATTCAAGGATTGATGCGGAGTAAAATAAAGATGATGTGAAAAGTGGGTTATATATAAGCTGTAATGCAACTGGAGAAGAGAAGTGTAGAGGAGAGAGAGAGATTTTGGGAAATGTTTAGCGAATGAGTGGAGTTTAGAATCAAGTGTGAGAGTAAATGGTGTTGGGGATTCAATGCTAAAGTGGGTAAAAATGTTATGGAGGGAGTAGTAAGTAATTGGGGTCCAGGGGTAAATGTAAATGGGGACTTTATTTGAGACTATGGTAGTGATATTTGGTAATAAGTATTACCATATTTATGAAAAGAGGATAACATAAATCATACAAAGGTATGATTCAGCAACGGTAATGAAAGTAGTTTATCAGATTATGTAATTAGTGATAAAAGGTTTATGGTTATGCTCCAGGATGTACATTTTTATAGAGGGGCACTGATAATCGGATCATTATTTAGTTGTACTAAAGTTAGATAAGAAGGCAGAAGGGAAAAAAGAGTAAGGTGGCAACAACAAGTAAGAGGGAGGTGAAAGTGTATAAACTAATTGAGGAGGAAGTTTTGGTTGCGATTACAGCAACTATTGGCAGAAAGGTCTGCTAGTGCAAAGATGAGTATGGGTGGGGTTGAAGTGGGTTGGAATAGTTTTAAAAATGCAGTATTAGAATGTGGGGCAGAAGTTTGTGGTTATGGAGGGTGGGGGCAGGAGGAAAGAGGAGTGATTGGTAGAATGATGCAGTAAAGGGTGGTGATAAAGATAAAAATGATACCTTATGGAGAATTTTACAAAGGCAAAGTGTTATAAGAAGAGCAGAGTATATGGAGAGTAAAAAAAGGTAAAGAGAGTGGTGAAGAGTGGAAAAGGAGAGGATAGTGGAGAGGCACTGTCAAGAAATTTTAAGAAAATAATGAAAAATTTTTTGGAGTTAAGCAAGTTTTTTTTAAGAAAGCCTAGGGAATGTAATGCAAATTGTTCGATTTAAAAACAGAGAGGGAGTTTAGTAGATGGGGAATGGAGGATAGGTAGATGGCGAGAATATTTTGAGGAACTTTTAAATGTTAAGGAAGAAACAGAGGCAGAATTATGCAACTGGCCAGGGAGGTATACCATCTTTCAGGAGTGAAGAAGAGCAGAATGCAAGTGTGGGGGGAGGTACGTGAGGCATTGACGTAAAATGAAAGGGGGATAAAGCAGCTGGAACTGAGAGATCATGAACAGAAATGTTAAAAGCAGGGGGGAATAGTGTTGGAGTGGTTTGGTACTTTTGTTTTATAAATGTATGAAAGAGGGGAATGTACCTAAAAAAAAAAAGGATTGGTATAGAGCAATGTATAGTCCCTTTTAAGTAAAGGGAAAGGGACAAAAGAGACTGTAAAAAATTTATTAGAGGAATAAGTTTTTACTGGAGTATACCAGGAAAAGTGTATGGTAGGGTTATATTGAAAGAATTAAGGCAAACAAGAATGTAGGATTGCGTGATGAACAAGGTTGTTTCAGAGTGGGTACGGGATATGTAGGAGTCAAGTGTTCACATGAAGCTATATGTGAACAGTATTTAAGATAAAGGTAGGGAAGTTTTTATTGCATTTTATGGATTAGAAAAGCATATGATAGAGTGGAATAGAGGAGCAATGTGGCAGATGTTGCAAGTATATGGATAGGTGGTAATTATTAAATGCTGTAAAGATTTTTTATTGAGGACAGTGAGGCTCAGGTTGAGGGTGTGTAGAAGAGAGGGAGACTACTTCCCTGGTAAAAGTAACTCTTAGACAGGGATGTGGTAATGGTCACCATGGTTGTTTAATATATTTTATAGGTGGGGTTGTAAAGGAAGTAATGCTAGGTGTTTCGGGAGAGGGTGGGATTAAAATTTTGGGGAACCAAATTCAAAATGGGGAATTGACAGTTACTTTTTGTGATGATACTGTGCTTATGAGAGATTCTAAAGAAAAATTGCAAAGGTTAGTGGATGATTTGGGAATGTTGTGTAAAGGTAGAAAGTGAAAGCGAACATAGAAAAGAGTAAGGTGATGAGGTGCCAAATGATTTAGATAAAGAAAAATTGATATCAAATTGGGGAGGAGGAGTATGGAAGAAGTGATATTTTTTAAGATACTTGGGAGTTGGACCCATGTCGCGGATGGTGTTGTATTTATAAGGATGAGGTTAATCATAGAAATTGATGAGGGAAAAAAGCGAGTGGGTGCGTTGAGGATATTATGTGATTCAAAAAACGTTATCTATGGGGCAAAGAAGGGAATTTATGAAAGTATGTAGTACCAACACACTTATATGGTGTGAAGCTTGGTTGTAAATGCAGCGCGAGGAGACGGTTGGATGGCAGTGGAGATGTCCTGTTTAAGGCCATATTGGTTGTAAATATTATGCAGAAAATTGCGGAAGTGTGGAAATTAGGAAAAGATGTGGAGTTAAATAAAAGTATTAGTCAGAGGCCAAAGAGTGGTTGTTGAGGTGGTTTGGTTATAATTAATTTAGAGAGAATGGTTCAAAGTAGAATGACATGGAAAACATATAAATGTATAGGGGAAGGAATGCGGGGTAGGGGTCGTCCTCGAAAGGGTTGGAGAGAGGGGTAAAGGAGGTTTTGTGGGCAAGGGGCTTGGACTTCCAGCAAGCGTGCGTGAGCGTGTTAGATAGGAGTGAATGGAGACGAATGGTACTTGGGACCTGATGATCTGTTGGAGTGTGAGCAGGGTAATATTTAGTGAAGGGATTTCAGGGAAACCGGTTATTTTCATATAGTCGGACTTGAGTCCTGGAAATGGGAAGTACAATGCCTGCACTTTAAAGGAGGGGTTTGGGATATTGGCAGTTTGGAGGGATATGCTGTGTATCTTTATATGTGTATGCTTCTAAACTGTTGTATTCTGAGCACCTCTGCAAAAACAGTGATAATGTGCGAGTGTGGTGAAAGTGTTGAATGATGATGAAAGTATTTTCTTTCTTTTTTGGGTCACCCTGCCTCGGTGAGAGATGGCCGACTTGTTGGAAAAAAAAAAAGTATAATTATCAAAGTATATATAAAATACGCAATAACTGTAAAACACTTGAAATTTTGGAAAGTTTCTAGACATAATAGATGGGGTCACGGAGAATGTAAACAAACCGGGGCCCTACTGTATAAATCTGATGGAAAACAAAGGATGTGTGGAAACTTTTGAGAATGATGTGCATAATGTTTTAAGAGGGTTGGGCATCCAGTAGGCATGTGTAATATTGGACTGATATCTGATTATCAGTGCCTTATTCAACATCTCCAACTTGGGAGATGATAAAGGCAGAGGTGGAAGTAGAGGTTGGTATATATGTTGTGAGCAGAACCTCTGTTAATACTGGCCAACCTTTGTAAACTTGCCATTGTATAACCAATCCATACTTTCTAAATCTGACTGGATTTTGGTTTTATTTGTGTTGCCTGCTGCTGCAAGTTTTATGTTCTGGACTAGTAATACAGCTTGTAATACTAGAATCTAATCAGTGGTATAATGCAGCTATTTACAAATGATCTGTGAGTCAAAAGGACTAATCTCAAATCTTTTCCTCCCAAGGGTAAAATGAACTAAGTTTTCTTGTACTTTCAGTTAAGTATGCTGATGAGGCTTCAGGAGGCTGCTAATTATTCAAGCCCTCAGCAAGACACTGACACCACATCACTTGACAATATGGAAAATCCCCTTGAATCTACAATTTGAAAGAGACTTGGCATGTAAATATAAAATGGATGACAATATCAATACAGCTTATTTGAATGAAATCCATTCAGCTTACTAGCGAAAGAATACGATTAACAGCCTGAGAAATGACAGGCAAGTTTAGGGATCTAGTCAAGGTACATAGAGGTTGCAATATAATTGCTGCAAGTGTTTTTAAACGAACAGAAAATCTTATATGACACAGCTTAAATAAATCGCACTATTTTAATGCAAAAAGACAAAAACAGTTATTTTAATGTATATTATCAGTGTTTGTAAATTCTCATAACAAGCTGTATGGAATTGAGTGAACTCTTATCTACACTGTAGTTTATGATAGCCAGCATTTGCTACTTCTGTCCACTCATTTAGAGTATAGAGCATGGCATGGTTCCTACTCTGTACATTATTGGCATCTGTGTGATTGGGGAAACAGGATTATGAGCCTAGGAAATCACAGGTTTCACTGTCCCCATCACCATTCACGTTCTTGTATAAGAATTTAAGGTAGCTCAAAATATTTTTTTTATATACATTTCCTAATGTTTGTGCTAATGTTTATAAATTTTATGCTGTCCTGTATTACATTATTTTAGATTTTATAAATTTGTCAGAGCTATATTACAATTTAAGCACGTATGTGGAGGAATAGAACTTCCATGTTAAGGTTCTTCCAAATTTTTTTTTTTTTTCCTTTTTTTTTAAAAGATGTAAATACTTATGGGTGGGTAAAATGGCTGAAAGCTTTAATGTGGTGTAAATGTCTTATGACTTTTGGTGGATTCGTGTTTTCATTTATTGACAACAAGCTTCTGCAAACAATCTTGGATGGCTGTACAGTTGCTCCCTATTGTTCAGATCTTTGGTTTCTGACAAGGTGTATAGAGATGTGTAAAAATTCGTTTTCAACCAAAGGCAAGCGTACCAGTGTCCTTAGCTTCTGTGCCTGAGAGCTAAGATAGTAGCAGTTATTGCTCAATGGCATATGGATATAGTTATCTATTTTTCCTTTTATTTTTCTCTGCTAACTCTTGAAATTGTGGCTTGATATTTGAGCCTTTATGCCCAAAGTTGCCAAAATCTATATTGTTACTGCCTTATTTCTTTAAGTGTACATATTGTATATATACTGTATTTCTTAATTAGGATCTGATGTTTAAGATGATGGAAAGCAGATATAGCTTGTGGTATACAACATTGAGTGGACCACTTTTATGTCAGAAAATAAATTTGATGTGGGTATTATGGAAAAAAAAAGTGTAATATTCACGGTGTGTGAGAAAAATATCACCTTGACTATGTCACAGTGACCATGAGTGAATCCACCATATGCAGGGATTCAACATTCAAGCATACTTTTTGTTAAATATGAATAGAGGAGGAGGCTACAGTACCCTCATTCTCATTTTTATACATAAAAATCATTTTTAAATATATTTCTTTGAAAACATGTAGTGTTTTATTTTCCTTTTTCAAATAGTATGCAGTCCCTCCTCAGATCCAATTGGGGTGAAAGGTAGAGATGAGCTTTCGTGCAGCGTTGAAACTATCAGTTGGGGACAAATTCCCTCCCCTTCCCTATTAATGAAGTTTCTCGTATCCAAGAGGCTTGGAAATACAGAAGGTACGTATGTGTTAAAAGTGACTCGGGTTAACTGGATTTGAGTGAGGTGGGAAGTCCTCTTCAAGGGGAGAGCCTCCTTGGCACAATGAAGTGTCTTTTGGTCTAAAAAATTGGACCTTTAGGTCTACCTGCTACTGAACCTAATTACCCCCTTCCCCCACATCCCTTGCCTGTTTTCAGCCTATGGGGGGTCCACCCCTGAGGCATTCTAGTTTGGGGAAAGGATACGAGGTCCTGGGTGGGGATGTCCCGTTCTTTCTCTGGAGGCTGCCTGGGGCCAGAGAAGGTATGCAACTGCTTTCTCTTGTCCACCAAGGTGGCTCAGTAGATGTGAGGTTGCTATGCTTGATTGCTGGTATGGCAAGGGTTTCATGCTGTCTCTGCACTGAGGTCCTTTTGGGCATGGGGATTTACAACCCTTTCATTCCTCCTAGGAGCTATCCACCCACCTTTTTTTCCTCTGGAAAAAAAAAAAAAAATGGGGAGATTAATGTGACTTGCCCATGGAGTCCGATTCATGAAACTGCTGCTCCCAGGCCCCTTTCTGTTGCTGCACCCTCTTGTATCCCTACCTCCTTAAAGGACCATTCTAGTGCCCTGGTACCTTCTGTGGGTAACATTTTGTCTCCCACTCCTGGTTCTGCTCGACTCCTTTGATACGGCTGACCTCTGCATGTCTTTGACCATGCTTCTCCCAATACAATGCAATAATTTTCAGATTGCCTGCCCAACTCAGGATGAACCACCTCTGGTCCCACACCTAAATGACCACTAACTGCTTCAATTACCACTCATGCTTTCCAGAAAAGACCAACGCGACACTTCCCTCGCACACTATATTTCAAAGTACACGATGGATTAAGTTCTTAAAGCATTGTTAAGCGTGATTTATGGACATGTGATACCGAGCTCCAAGACCTCTCAATTTTCAAAGTGGACACTTTTGTACTACCTGCCCGTGCTTCCCCTACAATATGGCTCATTTAACTTGACTGCTGGGAACTTCCATCTTCAGTTCATATTGCATGACATGACCTACAAGTCCAAGAGTTGATTTCTACACCACAACAGTAGAAACTGCTGGCAGTTTGGACATCCAGCGAAATATTGCAGTTCCACAGCAGAATTCCCAGTCTGTGGTGCTGCTGACCATACCAATACATCCTGCAGCCTACCTCCCTCAATCACAATGAGGCTCGCCTGGCTTGTTCTCGCTATTCCCAAGTTACTTAAAAGAATGAGGAATTCGTTCTCAAGGGAGGTTCCTTGACACTGGTGAGGGGCTCTTGATCTACAGAATTAGATCTGTGCTCCAGTTCTCTGAATTGAGCCTGAATACCTTTCAACCCCCCCCCCCCAAACACTATAATCCTTTGGGTTTAGCGTGTCCCATGATTATAATAAAGGTTTCATGCATGCCATGACAGTTTCTCATCTCTGCCTCTTATTCTAGTTACTATGAGATTTCCAAGTTGGTGCTACCTACTTCCACAATCTCCACTGTGGTCACCTCTGTATCTTTTCTCAGGGGTCCCTACCTAGTTGCCTCAAACTGCCCTGAATCATCTCGGTCTCATATTTCTATGTCTACAAGACCTCCCACCACTACACCTTCCCTTCACTTCTCCAAAACAAACCAAAAGTTCAACTCTCTCTTAACCCCTCCTTTCTAAACATTTTTCCTTCCAGTCTCAGTGCCTGGTTCTTTACCTCTTACTGGCTCTTTTACAAGTGTGGAGGTTCATCCTCCACCCTGATAAGTTTCTTCCCATGTTAACTAACCCCTTCTATTTCTGACATACTATCTGCAACATCCTTGTCTTCTGAAACACTTGATGCTATCTCTGAACATACTGAGACAAAAACCAATGGACACTGATGCTTCTAAACCATCTACACAATGTTTCTTTGCAGCATTTCAGTCCTGCGCTGCTTAGTCATTTTCAGTTTCCTCCACATGTAGTCTGTACACACCTACTGCTTCATGCTATCAGTATACATGTACTTCTTTTTGCAAATCTTGACTTATTTACATTGGAATATTTCATGCCTCATGTAATTGGTGGGTGAGCTTCAAGTGTTGCTCTCCCAGTTTTCCCGTTTTGTTTGTTTACAAGAACTTAAATTGCACTTGACTATCCTGTCTCTATCTTACTGCATTCACGAGAACCATTTTCTGATGGGAAAGGGCACTTCTCGTATGCACCAGTTTACTACACGCAGATCTTTGTTCATATCTCACTGTATTACACTACTTGAATACAATCTGGAAGGGGGGGAGGGTCATTATCCAACTTACGAGGTGACATAAAAGACCTGGAAAACCCTATCAGAAATACTAGGAACAAAAAAGATAACATGAAATAGCAAAATTGAATTAACAAAACCAGATGAACCCCAATTCCCACCTACTGAAACAGCAAACAGACTCAATGATTTCTTCTCCACTATAGGAAAAAAACCTTGCCAATAAAATCCCAAGCTCAGATACCCCACCAGTGACTACCTCACTGGCAACTACCCGAACACACAGTTCCTAGCTCCGACTAACCCAACTGAAGTCTCCCTTATTATCAACAAAGTAAAAAAACAAGACAGGAGATTTAAATACCTTACCACCCATATACAAAAAAGTGTTACAGGTGCTACCACCAATCATTGCAACACTTTAACAAATCCATTGAATCCTCTACCTTTCCTACAGTTCTCAAAATAGCAAGGGTCACCCCGATCCATAAAGGAGGAGACCACACAGACTTGAATAACTATAAGCCAATATCCAACTTACACCCTCTCTCTAAAATCTTTGAAAAATTAATCCATAAGCGTATCTATTCCTACCTCATCTCCCACAACATACTCAACCCCTGTCAGTTTGGGTTCAGGCCTAATAAAAATACTAATGATGCTATTATCCACATGCTAGAACATATTTATACAGCAATAGAGAAAAGAGAAGTCCCACTGGGGATCTTCATTGACTTATGTAAAACTTTTGATACAGTTGACCACGACTTGCTTCACATAAAATTGTTGCACTATGGTATTAGAGGGCACTCCCTCAACTATCTAAAGACATACCTTAGCAACAGAAGCCAATATGTGTACACAAGTGGGGCAAACTCTTCCGCACAGCCAATTACAGTTGGTGTCCCACAGGGAAGTGACCTAGGCCCTCTTCTCTTTCTCATATATATAAATGACCTACCAAATGCATCGCAACTACTCCAACCCACTTGTCTCAGACTCCCTTAGTGCTTTACAGGCTATACAAAAATTTGATACACCTCACCCCTTAGTCCTCCGTATCCAACTTTGGCTACGCCGCATCTTTACTAAGCATAAAGATATTGTTTTTTGTTGGGTCCCTGGTCATGTTGACGTACAGGGCAATGAACAGGCAGACACTGCTGCGCGGTCAGCAGTACATGACCTACCAGTTTCTTATAGAGGTATTCCATGTACGGACTATTTTGCTGTAATATCTTCCCACCTTCACACCCGTTGGCAACAACGTTGGTCTACTATGCTCGGCAACAAACTTCAGTCTATTAAAAACCGAGTAAAAGGTTACGGGCCGTCTTCTTATCACCAGTGTCGAGGTTGGGAGCCCTACTCTCTCCCGTTTTCGCATTGGCCATACTCGTCTACCCCATGGATATCTCATGGAGAGGGCGTCTTGCTCCTCTCTGTGAGAATTCCCAAGCTCCATTATCAGTCAGCCACATTCTGTTGGACTGCCCACTTTATCAACGAGCCCCGCAGAATTACCTCTGTCGTCGTCTTCCCCCCGCTGCTCTCTCTTTACCTTCCCTTCTCGTGAGGACCCCCTTTTCATCCGACCTCTCATTGACTTTTTGAAAACGACTGACTACTTCACAAATTCTGATACTTTCACCCTTTCTACTTGTATCTCTTGCTACCCTCTACCCCCGTACTATCCCCTGCCCCGCTGTTTTCTGTAACCTGCTGATCATCCCCCCTCCCTTCTGCCATCCAATTCCCTTGCTTCCTTCCCTACCCTGCAGCGCTGTATAGCCCTTGTGGCTTAGCGCTTCTTTTTGATTATAATAATAATAATAATACTCCAACCCACACTATTTGCAGATGACACTACATACGTCTACTCTCACCAGAGCCCAGTCATGCTAGCCAATACTGTAAATACCGAATTACAGAAAATATCAACCTGGATGAGGACCAACATACTCTAAACATTGACAAAACCTATTACATTCAGTTTGGTAACAGATCTGCAGATGTCTCTCTTAACATAATGATAAAAGGATCACCTATCACAAAACTCAGAGGGAAAATTCCTAGGAATCCACCTTGATAACAGACTCAAATTTCAAACACACATACAACAAATTTCCAAGACCGTAGGCATACTATCGAAGTAACGGTACTATGTTCCACAGTCAGCCCTCCTGGCCCTATATAACTTGCTTATTTACCCCTATCTCACCTATGGAATTTGTGCATGGGGCTCAACAACAATAAACCATCTCGGACCACTAATCACCCAACAAAAGGCTGCAGTCAGAATAAATTCCCACTACAGACAGCACACTCCACCAATATTCAAAACTCGAAACCTACTCGCAATACAAAACATCCATACTTATTACTGCACTTAACTCTGACATAAACCCTCCCCTCAAACATCTACTTACCAACCTCAACAGAACACATGACCATAACACAAGACACAGATCTCTCTCTGATGTTCCTCGTGTCCATCGCACGCTATGCAAAAACGCAATGCACATAAAAGGCCCTAAAATCTGGAATTCATTACCTGTGAATATAAAAGAAACACTGTC